GCTGGTGCTGAGAACCCCTGGCCCCGAGTGACCCCAGTCTGCAGTTACCACCTGTGGCTATTTTGGGATATTCTTTCCTAAGTGCCTGCATGGTGAAAGACCTAGTGCTGCAGGGAACAGCCCCAAATCTTACCCTTAAGAGGGGTGCCTGTGGTAACTGAGGTGGAAGGTGCTCAGACCTCTGTGAGTTTTGGTTCTGGGAACATAGCAGATTCTGCCCTTCTGTGCTATCATGGGGTGGGGGAGGTCATGGGACTGAGTGGTGGGCAGGAGTGATATAGGTCACTTCCAGGCCTGGTCTCTGAAAGCCTCCCACCCCATCTGTGTGCTGTCTTCCCCTCACCTGCTGGTGGCATGCAGAGAATCCTCCCCAGGACTCAGACGTGAGCTGGAATTTGGGTCGCCACATGGCATCCCAGAGCGGGCCCGACCCCAGCCCTCCAGTGGGGGGCTATGTCAATATTAAAATAATAAAAATCTAGGTTTCGATGATCAGGTTAATAAGAATTAAAAAAAAAAAAGACTTAAAGGAAGAATACACAGTACCAGCTGGAGGATAGTGAATAAGCGCTTTCACACACTGCTGTTTGGGAATGTCTGTTGGTTAATCCTTTCGGAGAACAATCTGGCAATTTAGAAATGTTCTTTTAACGAAGGGCCAACTGATGGGGCCCCTGGGTGGCTCAGTCATTGGGCGTCTGCCTTTGGCTGGGGTCGTGATCCCAGGGTCCTGGGATCGAGTCCCACATCGGGCTCCCTGCTCAGCGAGAAGCCTGCTTCTTCCTCTCCCGCTCCCCCTGGTTGTGTTCCCTCTCGCTGTGTCTCTCTCTGTCAAATAAATAAAATCTTAAAAAAAAAAAACCACTACAGAAGTGAAAAGATGAACCTGAGGCTAGAGAAGATGCTTGTAGTATCCACTTGTATTCTCACCCGGGGATTCATACCCAGCTAGGTAGAGAGCTCATATGCCAGAATGAGAAAAAGCCAGTTTGGTAGAAAAATGGGCAGGACCGTTGATTGGAGTGTAGGGTCGGCTGCCGTCACGGAGATCCTCAGATCCTGCGGCTTACAGAAGCTGGGAGGCTATTTCCCCCACACAGAGGTGCAGGGGAAGGTCGGCGTCCCAGGCAGGTCGAAGGCTCTGCTCTGGGTCACGCCCCGGGGCCCTGTGTTGGCTCCGTGGCTGCGTCAGAAGCTGTTGGCAGCACTCTTCCCAGCCACTGGGAAGGGGGCACAGGGAGGCCAGGGCACACGGCCTTGTTTTTAAGCAGATGAGCCCAGCCCATGAAAGGGAGGTACTGGCACCCGAGTAATTAGAGAAAGGTAAATTAAACCAACAAGTACAGATGTGGGACAACACCGACTGGCGGTCAGGGTGTGGGTCGGGACGAGACGTCTTGTGTCACTGTCACTGATGGGACCTGGCTCGGCCCCTGGCAAGACCTAGCTAAGCGAAGGTGCACAGACCCCATGACGAAGCCCAGCGTGTGTGGATGGGCACATTCACTGAGGCAGCTGTAGTCAGTCGATCCTCAAGGGGATGCAGTAAACAGTCACTACTATGTAGTTTTTGGAAAGAGGTGAGGTCCAGAACCGACGGCCAAGGAAGAATTTTTGAGATGTCTTCAGTGCAAAATGGTGGTTTTATTAAAACGGGGACGGACCCGTGGGCGGAAAGAGCTGCTGCTGGGGGGTATGAGGAGCAAATGATGCTGTACTTTGGGGTGGGGTGGGGAGTAAAGGGAAGTTCCAAAAGGATCTTCATCTGCTAAGGACGACATGGGTTACCAGAGCCCTTGCTATTGTCAGACCAAGGTGGTTTTTCCTTGTAGCCAGGCATTAACAGTAACGCAGTATTTCTCAGTAGGCTGCAGGGTAGAAGGACAAAACATTTTATCTGCCTTTCCTTCTGCCTTTGTTTCCCACATCACTGCCAACTCGGATTCAAGGCACTGATTCCTGTTAGATCTGCACAGACTGACTTGGATCCACCTCAAAGCAATGTTAATAACACAAAACCAAGTTGAAAGTAGATGTGTACAAAAGCAACACTTATAAGAGTTTTTAAATGGGTAAAGTAGCAAAAATGCAGGGAGCACTGAACTGCAAAAGCCCAAGCTGGAGGGGCATGCACAGGGCCACACGTGCCGCAGTTCCACAGCGAGCTCCCACAGAGCCGCCAACGGGTGCTCCTTGTGGGGGTCTCCTGGCTCTTGGGGGTCGTTGGCACAGGTGTTCGGTGAGCGTGTGATGCGGTTCTGCCTTTCAGTTTTAATGTGTGTTCCTTCTGGAACGCCCATTGTCTGGTTATCGGCCGTCCTGGATTGATCTTCTGATAGCGTTCTCATTTTTCTCCTTGTCTTTTTGTTCTACTATTTCTTGAGTTTCATCTTCCTCCTACCCTTCCATTTTTGTGATATTTTTAATTTCTAAGATTTATTTTTTAATCTCCAAATGTTTCTTTTGAATAGCAGCCGCCTGTTGTTACTTTGTGGGTTACTGTCCTCTTATCTCTCAGGATTTTCTGGAAAGCCTCTTGCAGGAAGGGCCTGGGGTGTGCCTCCCGGCTTGGGGGAGGCCTCTGCTCCCATTTCTTGCTCGCAGCTCACCACGCCCCCTGCAGTGGTGACCAGACGGAGGTGGGGCCTAGCAGCACCAGGTCGGTTCTCGTTAAATGAACTTCCAGTCTGTTGGGGTTTGAGGCCCAACTTCACACCTGTTTTCAGAGGTCCCTGGAATTCTGTCTTTTTCCACAGAGAGGGTTCTGAGGCAGGGATAACTAGATTCTGGGGTGGCTGGGCCAGGCAGTGGCCCTTGGCCACTGAAGACAAGTGGGGATGGTCACCGTAATGGACAGCAGAGCCAAAGCCGTGATCAGAATAGTCTGACTCCGAGAGACCTGTGCTCCTGGAGGAGAAGTAGATGGGCAGTTGACCCAGTTCTTTTTTTTTTTTTAAAGATTTTATTGATTTATTTGACAGAGAAAGACATAGCAAGAGAGGGAACACGAGCAAGGAGAGGGGCAGGGAGCCCGATGCGGGGCTCAATCCCAGGACCCCAGGATCACCCAGGTGCCCCAGTTGACCCAGTTCATACTTTGGCCAGGTCAAGTGAGCAAGCCTCTAACTTGAATTAAAAAGCAGTCACGGCCCCTGAATCAGCTCCCAGACTTGAAGACCGAGTTTGCAGGTTCGAAACCCCTTGAATGATGGGGGAGCTGGAAGGACCCCAGTTTGCTCCTAAAAGTGTACACCTTTGGGAGCCCCTGGGTGGCTCAGTTGCCTAAGCATCTGCCTTTGGCTTCGGTCATGATCCCAGGGTCCTGCGATCAAGCCCCACATCAGGCTCCTTGCTCTGTGGGGAGCCCACTTCTCCCTCTCCTCCCCACTTGTCTCTCTCCCTCTCCCCTCTCACTGTCTCTCCTTCTCACTCTCTCAAATAAATAAATAAAAGCTTTATTAATTAATTAATTAACTAAAGTTTACACCTTTGTTCTTTCTCCCAGCCTTCCCCCACGGGACTTGTGGCATTTAACCAGGGTGGCCGTGCACTGGGGAGCAGGAAGCCACCAGACTTTTTGGGACCCCTGGATGCTGGAACTGACCCGATGGCAGCAGGCCAGTCAGAGTAGGGGCTTCTGGGGGTCAAGGGATCAGTGGAGTTCTAACTGAGGTCTGCCTCGTAGTGTCACAGTGGGCCCAGTAGGCCCCGAACCCATCCCAGTCCTGGAGCACATCATCCAGCAGCAGGCAGAATCGCACACTGGTTCCCTGACCTGTGTAGTGAGAGCTGATCTGGTGGCCAAGCCAAGTGGGAGCCTCTGGACTGCCTAGAATAGTAACCTCTTCTTGGAGGGATTTCTGAGATCAGTGCCCCCATCAAGGACTGGAAGGGTGCATGGATAGTGAGCCCTGCATCATCTGCACTCAGCTCACTCACTCGACGGTGCAGAACAAAGATGGATTGTCTTAAACTTACCAGGTGGTACTCTTAATTGCAGTTGCTGTTCCCGATGCTTGAGCAAATGAGCACATCCTCTGGAACGTTCTCTGCAGTGGGCTGTCTGGCAAATGCTCTTAGGAAGGACCACCAGATCAGCTTGCTTTCAGCCGCCAGCAGTGCATTGTATCGTCCCACCTCAGGGGTATACCAGCTCTCCAGCCCTGTGTCATGCTTTATGTCACAGGGCCCTTGACTGTCTATCCCTTCACAGGATAGCATGCTGGCCCATTACATGG